CAGTTTGTGGTGTTCCAGTTTGGCATTTGTCCATCATCACCTTGGTTTTTTGAATGTGTCAAGGGACAGATGGATGTCACCTTGCATGGCTGCACAAGAGCAGATTGTCAATTGCAAAGTAGCCACGCCCTAAAGCATATCCCGCTTTATCTTCTATTTTACTCTAAACGGGATCATAATTTACAAAATACACACCATGCTACATTGAAGAAGACTTAAATCTAGAAAATTAGACCATAAATTAATTTGAAAAATGCTTACAGAGGTAAAAAATCAAGTAAGAAGTAGGATCAGTTTCTAATAGATTTCTATACAATCAAACTTCTTGTGACGTTGCCCCCTGCTGTTCATCATAAGGAATGCAGGTTTTAGGATTTTCTGCATTGGTATGAGCTTTTACATTTGACACCACATAGTCTTAAAAGTTGTAAAGAACCCTATCAGGAATTTACCTTTCCTTCCTCACTGTTAAATTTTAATTCAGCTTTATGTATGTATTTCAATAAAAAACGCCTCGTTAGACGCCCCAGTAAGCAGACAGCATCCATCCTCCACAGTCTGCTCTGTCAAAACAAAGAGGTGTGCTGTGAACATTAGATCCCGACTCTTTACCTACATTATCTGCTGAAGGTCTTCACACACTCCGTCACTCGCTCTGCTGTCATTTTTCATCACTCGCCCTCCAGTCAGAGGTCACTTCAGGGCTTAAACCTGCGGAGACAGACGGCTATCGGCTGAAGGTTTGTGTGGAGGTGTCTGCAGTGATAAAAAACACTGCTCACACCTTCCCGCTGAGATCTCTGGACTCACTTTGAACTCGGTGCTGATGTGCGGTATTGTAACTTTACCAACTTTTCATTAAAAAAATTCCTTTCGAAAACCGCGATACTGAAAGTATTCAAACTATGCTGAGAAAACAGCATATTTGGTTTGAGAGCGCCCACATCTCCAGCGGGTAATGCAAAGCAGAAGATAACCTATAGATCTGTCGTTTTTATGATCTTCCTGCCAATCCCACCAAACCAGTCAGACATCAGTCCACTCTTTGTCTGTCTTGTGGCTTCCTCTGCCCGTCTCTTCCTCCTGCTCATTATTTTTCTGACTCTTACCAGCTGCTAGAAGCCACAGTGCCTCCTTCCATCTCTTTCCAACTTTCTCTAACTTTGCTTAACTCCCTCTGTCCCTGCAGCATGTCCCTGATGTCTTCCCACTTATGTATCTGCTTGTTAATCTCTCACCAGCAGCTTTAAAGTTTTAGATTCAGTCTTCCTTTACAAAACTATCTCCCTCATCGCCGTCTTCAGAGGATTTTTTTTTTCTTTCTAATAAAACTAGACGTCGGCTGGCCTCGGCGGAGGAAAGACTTTCACCAGAGCTGTCGGTTCATCCTGGTTTGATTTGACTGCTGTGAAGATTATATTAGAGAGTGTACACGCAGTAAAACATGATGAAGTTTTAAACTATTGAAGGGAAGTTTCTTCTGTGCTGCGTGAGGGTGAGCTGGGGTGACTTTATTTTATTTATTTTTGATTATATCTGCGCTGTGTCAGTGTGTCTGCAGTTAAAACAGCAAAGACAAAGAAAAGAAAAGTTTATTACAGCAGAAGAATGTTTTGTGGGGACAAAAAAAAATACATTTTGTCATTTAAAAAACCCCAGACTTGCTGCATTTCTCTGTTTTGAATCACTGTAAATTGAGTCTTGTTGGGTTGTGTTGAACAAAAGGAGGACATCAGCTCGAGATCTTGTTGTTTTTTCTTATTTAACATCTTAAGATTAGATAATATGAGATAAAATAAGCCTTCATTAATGCCACAGTGGGGACATTTGCAGTGTTACAGCAGCAAAGAGGATTCAAACATGTAGGAAACATTAGTATAAGAGTAAAATTAACCCGGAAAATATATGTAACTGACTCCCTGTGTGCGTCCGCCGCTCGCTGGTTCCTCTCCACTCACCCGGTATTCTACGTTGTGTTTAATGATGTGTGGACAGGTGCTGGCGTGGAAAGTCCAAAGATAACACCGGACACGGGGGTTCTGAATTGCGGCTGGAAAACGAAGTCTCCGTTTTGTTCTTTTTCCAAAACTAGCAGCACTTCTCCAGAGTCGTATACAGACACCAAAACGTTTGCCCATCCGCGCTCTCACAACCAAAATCAAACTACGGTGTCCCGGACAGGACAAAACAGTGGGAATTACAGCATTTGTTGAACGACGGGCAGCGCAACATCACCACTTAGTAGACTAATAAATGAACTACCTTACATATACATAAGTGCTGTTTCTTCCAGGTATTGCATAGATTTCTGTGCATGTGGAAATTGATATTGCACATATCGATGGTATGGCACAGATTCTTCCATAAGTAGAAACACTTCAGTAAGAAATGCTGATGTTGCACAAATTCACCAGTCGGTAGAAAAATTCAGATATTCATTAGATAAGATAAAACGTTCTCAATCCCAAAGGACATTCTTGTGCCAGATAGTTTGCAATGATACTGAAGTAAT